ATAATATTAATCTTTATTTAATTATAAATTGTCAAAGAGAACAATGAAAATTGAGATATAATGTTGAGGTATTAAAAGCGCGCAATTACATTAAAAAAGTAGAAAGAATCAGAGTCAACTATACATTTTTATGAATTAGAAAGACATAATTATCAGCATATAAGACATATAGATTTAAATATAATCAACAAATAAATTGCATTATTTTGCAAAAACAGATGCTTTAGTAGAATAATTTCATTTAACAATGCACAAATTATTTTTAAAATTATATCATATATGAACATATTGATCGTAGTTTGTATATATGCTGTAATACCTGCTCCATTTTGATTATTACATATGTTCAAAATCATGTAAACTTTTATATTTTTAATCTAATAATTCTTGCATCAAACGCATAAAATGCATAGGATGCAGAAACTTGACAACACTTGACAATAGGACGATATGGGACAATAGAGGACAACTCCTAACCTTTTTTTTCCGACGAAATCTTCTGTATATACACTACCGCCATTATATCCATTTTATAAAAATGTGCATTACGTAGTACACCCATTTTGCGACTTTGTCGATAAAATCATAGTGCCGAAAATGGATACAGTGCGCGTCCATACTACGGCCACATATTCTCAATGGATAACTTGGATAATTTAACTAGGTTGTAGTCTGTTCTATAGAAATATTTTCTTACAAGAAATCAAAAAAAATTAAACAAAATTTATTCTGGAATACTTGAACTTATGATCTTGAAATATTTAATACTTAGTAATTTTTTATAGGTATTTGCGTACTCAGGATTTCAGTCAGAAAGTAGAAAGATAAAAATTTTCTTCATACAATTTATTATTATCATGTACAATGTATTATAATAATTTATCGGTCCCGACTGTATATATGAACTGTTCATAATGAATAATTGATTCGCATCGTTTAAGATTTAATGATCGATCATGAATGAAATCAAATACATTACATTCAGGTATGAATATTCGCGCGACAGATCATATAAAACTCGATATATATATATATATATATATATATATATATATATATA